TGTATCAACAGAAATTAATTCAAGCCTAGTTTCTTCTTTGAGAGGCAGGGTCTCTTGTCCAATGTTAGCTAACATTGAACTCACTATGTAGCTAAAGATAACCTTAAACTCTTGATTCTCAGACCTCTACGGCCTAAGTACTGGATTACAGGCGCACACCACCATGCCTCAGCAAACACAACTTTTAAAGATGAATTTGCTTGCATTCTTTAAGACTACAACAGAATCTGAATTGAGCAGAGTATCAAACTCCAAAGCAGACTGTAAAACAACATGAGATGCATGAAAAGTTAGACTGCTACATTTCTATTACAATAAAGTTGAGAGTAAGGCACTGGGTCCAAATTAGGCATTAAACTACGACACTCCTCACCATAGGATTTAGTAACATTTAATATACTTTTATTTACTTATTTATTTTTTGGCGTTTTTGAGACAGGATCTCCCTAAGCCCCAGCTGGCCTGGAACTCACTATGTAGACCAGGCTGGCCTCGAACTCACAGAGATTCACCTGCCTCTGCCTACAAGTGCTGGGATTAAAGGTGTGCACCACCACACCCGGCTTAATAGACTTTTAATATTTGCAAATGAACATTTTTCACACTTTCTATCTGAAAAGGGGTAACATAAATTCTAACTGGCAATTTTTTTTTCTTTTTTAGGGATAATATTTTAGAATCAATGAGATCTTGTTTTCAATGAAATACACACATATATGTACAACATCTACTAGGTTAAACCCTTCATAAGTTGTGCACTATATTTGAGGCATCCTGAAACACTGGGAATTCCACAATTACAGGAGAGGACCGTGGTGTTCAAAATAGTTAAGCCGTATGTGTACCATGTTGCAATATGCTGAGATTTATCTTGCCTAAATATGTGGATTTATGGATTCTATCCATTTTTAATTATCCCACCAGTCTCCAACAGGAAAAACTAGTACCTGGCAAACTGCACCATTCCCTGAAGCTAATAGTATTAATGCAATCAGAACAACAAGAAAATAAGAACACTCGCCACACATGTTGGTATACACCTGTTGTTTCAATTACTCTAGAGGGTAAGGCCAGAGAATAGCAATTTCAAAGGCAGCCTGGGTTATACAGTGAGAACCTTTTTTTTTTTAATATATATATACTTTTATTTATTATTTTTTATGTGTATTGCCTGCATGTAGATGAGTGTACCCGTGTTGTGCAATGTCTGTAGAGGACAGAAGAGGCCATCAGATCCCCTGAAACTGGAGTTAGACAGTTGTTAGCTGCCATGTGGGTGCTGAGATTCGAACCCGGGTCTTCTGCAAGAGCAACCAGTGTTCTTAACCTCTGAGCCATCTCTCCAGCCCCAAGAACATTTTTTTTAATGCAACGGATCATCTAAAATCTCCCAATAAGATTTATCAATTTTGAAAAGAACTGAATAAAAAAATGCAAAGATGATTTGAAATACCAGCCTAAAGCCTCACTTTGCATGTATTTGGTCTTTTTAAATCTTTGTGTGTACAGTGCACGCACACATTAATGTGTATGAATTCTGGCACTCGTGTCATGATATGTATGTGGAGGTCAGAGGATCACCTTGGGTGTTGGTCCTTGCCTTTGAGAGAGTATCTCATTATTTTTTCCATAGCACATGCCAGGCTGGTTGGCTCCTGAAGTTCCCCGGATCTGAGGATTCACCTGTCTCATCTCCCTGGATGAGCACTTGGATCAACAGACACGTTACTGTATCCGGCTTTATGTGGGTTCTAAGGATTCAAACTCAGGTCCTTATACTTGTGTAACAAGTGCTTTACCTATTGAGCCATCTCCTCAGCCCCTATATTCAGTCTTACCTACCAATAATACGCACAAATGAATTATGAACAGACATATTTTAAGTTAAATTTTTCCTTCAAAAAAAAAAACCCTCACAGTGTTTAATCACTATATAATATCCTCTAGTAACTGGAAGTTGGTGGGAGGGACAGTATTGAAACAATTGCATTTTATATGATGAAAATATCAAAAGGTAGGGTTCATCCTTATTATTTGTAGATTCCCTAGCTGGGAATTCATTTAGTAAAATTTGTTTGTAATCCAAGCATCAATATTTGAAGATGGTTTAGTGGCTGCTCAGACATCAATAGAATAGGAAAAATTTGAACTGTCCAAGACACATGTTCCCAGCTGTGGCCAAATATGGCAACACTCTGCTTTCTTGTTTCAGCTCTCATAAACAATTGTGTATGCTCTGATTTTGTTTCCTGTTATTATTAGCATTATTCATATAGTCATCGTACAAAATGATAGGTTTCATTATGGAATTTTCATACATGTACATCACATACTTTGTTCATATTCACTTCATACAAGAGCTTTTCTTTACTTTTTTCTCCCCAGTGTTGGGTATAAAGCCCAGTGATTTTCTCCCTCCCTTCCTTTCTTTCTCTTTTTCAGTGTTGGGGATCAAACCCAGGATCTTGTATATGCTATGCAAGTGTGCTACCACTAAGCTACATCCTAGCCACAAGCACCCATTTTTGTGATCTACTTAGTATCATGCACTTTTGTATTTCTGTTGGTGAATGGCTCAAGTGTTTTACAATGTTCCTAAGTGCAAGAAGGTCATAGTGTGACTTAAAACGGATGTTTCATCCAAGCATGACTGCGACTGGTTATGAGTTCAATGCTAATCAATAAACAATATATACTAAATAAGGTCTTTAAATAGAAACATTTAAAACAAGGCTAAGTAATAATCAGCTGATGAAATGTATGAGCAGAAATTTAAAGAGAACATAATCCCTTGTTTCTCCTAGGATTGAGGACTCAATAATTACAATTTAGCATCTGTAGTATGATACAGAACAGAATTACAAGTAACAGCAATCAACTTAGATCTCTAGCTATTTTTCACACCAATATGATAGTCACCCATGTTACATTCTTATTTCAAGTTAGACTAACACTACCTTTATGGTTCTAATTTTAAGTACATCATAATTGCAAGAGCTACTTATTTTTAGTCTTTTTAAAATACCACATCTGGGGGGGATTACTGATTTTAATAAAATTAAACATTATAAAATTTTTTTCAACATAAAATATAAAACTATACTTTTATTATCTGTTAAGAGGCTCTAAAACTGCTTACACTAATTATGAAAATGGTGTATTCTGTTTTAGAATCTTGTAACACTGATTTTTCATGAAAAGGCCCATTTCCTTTTACCACCAGGAACCATACATCATGAACATCAGTGAATTAAGATTTTGGTGGCTTCCACTGACGACAGGGGTACAACTACAGTCAAGCCACTTCATCAACTACCCTTAAAAAAAAAAAATCTCTGGCTGGGCGTGGTGGTGCACGCCTTTGATCCCACCACTTGGGAGGCAGAGGCAGGTGGATCTTTGTGAGTTCGAGGCCAGCATGGTCTACATAGCGAGTTCCAGGCCAGCTGGGGCTTTTTTATATATATATATATAAAAATTAAGAGCCAGGAGTTCTTTCAGAAGAAGCAAGTTACCTAGTGAAGTTAGTCTAGTTTAATAGCATTCAAGAAAAAAGACATGAATGTCAATCTCAGTGTAATTCGGGAGTGGGGGTGGGCTAGCCCACAGCATGGGGCCATAGATTATAGTACAAGGTTCAGAATAAACAGGAAGGAGAAAAGGACAAAAGAAAACAAGACACTTGGTAGCTCTGGAAAAAAAAAAAAAAGCTCAGTTCATAATAAAAAACATAAAAGTCTTCGAGAATGGAATTCCTGATGCTAAATAAAGCTGCATCTTTTCCTATAAAGCTTCTGTTTTTCCCATGACCTACAAAACCATGGCACCCCTCAAGTCTCCCTTTAAAGTAGCTTACTCCAAGTAGAGGTTGGAAAACTGCATGAGAAGGAAGGTAAGACTGAAACCAAAACAGAGTGGGAGCATGCCACAATTTTAAGTTGCACTGATACTGGGTATTTTCTTCAAGGTAACACAAGTTCCCATAAATCTGCTTCCAGCAAATAGCAGTCACTTTCACAACCCTAAACTAGATCCTTTATATAAGAATGTCCTAGTTTTAATCTAAGATTTCATCCACATCCTCATTTTAGCGTCATTACTATAAATTTCAATAGCTTAAGCCTTATTTCCAGAATGTAAGCTCTTGTTTTTACATTTTAAGTGACATAATATCCAAGTCCTTTCAAAACCACGTATGCCCCAGTTGGTATATTCGCACTCTTGTCTGTCACTGCTCTGAAACATTATTTTCATGGAGCACTGAACTTTGGGTAGCTTTCTTTATGCCCAAAACATGTATTTTTTTTTTTCAGACTAGTATACTGTTCCATTACACAAATGTACCATACTTAGTATTTCACCACTTCTTACTAATGGATGTTGGGTGGTTTCAAAGTATTTAATGCACAAGGCCTTATATGAACATCTTAAATTGCTTTTCTTTGAACCGTTCTGAGCTCAGATACACCTGAACAGGACCAAAACCTAGAATGCTCCCTAAACACTATAGTCGCAGATGCAAAATTCTTAGTGATAAATAATTTCCATTAAACGTAGATAAATGTCTTGAAATTTTAGCCTCACGTAGTGCAGTTATAAGGACCATGAACTAGGAGAACGTGGTAAGATACTTAAAGGAGAAATGTTTTCGTGTCTGTCTTACCAGCCTGCGCCTAGACTGAAAAGTAAAGAGCTCCTTGGGCGAGAAAACAACACTCCTTAAGAATTTTAGATACCTTGGTATAGGTTACGGAGTAATAAAAGGTTAACAGTAGGAGCTTGGAAACTTCAATTTGATTTTTCGGTGTTCCCAATAACACAAACTTCAAAGCTCGGGTTTTAAATATTAGCTACGCGTGTGGACTTAGAAAACAAACCCGTGGCACTCACCACTTCCGCCTCCCCCGGCCTCCCCCTACCCCGTGGCCCGCCGCGGAGGGGTCCGGGTGGGCGAGCAGGTGGCGCCTGGAGGAGCGGCCTCCGGGCCGGCCCGCTCTCACCTCAGCTCCTCTTCCACGTTCCGGCGGGGCTGTTCGGCCGAGGCCACCATGGGGGAAGTCGCCGAGCTCTTGTTCTTCAGGATTCCCTTGATGGGCCGGTGAGAGGCCGTAGAGGCCGCCATTGCCGGTCGCTCCGGCTGTCGGCTCAGGGTCGCTGCTGGCGTGGGGTCCTGGAGGGGAAAGGTGGGCGCTGCGGGGCCCCTCCAGGCAGCCGCGGAACCCGCGCAGGGCTAAAACCGTCGCACCCGCGGTCACGGAAACCTCTACCGCCGTCGCTGTCTGGACACAATGACCTCAAAGCCACAGCCGACGCCGCACGGCGGGCGGCCCTTTGCCGCCGGCTCCGTAGCCCGGGCCCGCGGAGGGAGGCCGGCCTAGTGCTCCACCGCGGGAGCGACGCCAACGCAGACGCCAGGCCCAGTCGGCCCGCCTCTCGCGATATCTAGGGCGGGGCAGGGCGAGGTGGGGCGGGAACAAAGCACATCTTCTGGCCGCGCCCCTTCTGGCCACGCCCCCCTGCGCTCTTTGTTAGCCCCGCCCAGGCTCCCTGCTGGGTGTTCCCCAGCCTTCTGAAGCTTTGGAGGTTGCCGACGGCTTGTACAGACCGGTGCATCCGACCAACACTCTCCCAACCCCCGTATCAGGCTGTGTCGTCATTTCTGTTATAGAAAATTGTGGCTCATAGGTGACCTCCTCTTTAAAGATAAGAGTTGTGTTAGCTGACTGTGAAAGATACGTTTCCCCTTCCTATTTAACCTTCATAATAATTTAGCTCCCTATTATATTCTGTTGCAGTTGATTTGGAAATTCACGCTTCCGGTATATTTCTGTTCTTGAAAGCTGCCCAGGTGTGCTGTTTTGTTGTTTGTACTCCCTCCCAGCTCCCACCTCCAGCGTCCAGCTCCATCACCATGGGCTCTTTTTCCACTGCCCTTCCCTGATCTGGCATCTCTGTCCTCATAACAAGCCAGAGTAGACTGAGGAACATGGAACTGCTGCCTCGCCACCCCCATCCCCCAGACCTTAGAGACTGCTAGATGTGGGAAAGACTGTGTTAAGCACTCCCATGAGGTGGGTATCCACTCTCTCCAGCCACCACAATCTAAGAAGCTTCAACTGAGCTGCTTTCCAGCATCTTCTGTCTACTGGAAGCCCAGGCAAGGTTCTACACTATTTTAAGTAGTAATTTCATTCAAGTGAGACTCTTCTGCCCCAGACTTGAGGATAATGCTCAGTCTGATGTCTTTAGGACTCTGCTCCTGTCAGCTCCAGGTTTCCTGAAAACTGTCCTATTTTGATTTTCCTGGCCGAGTTCTCGCCAGGGAACTCCATCCTGTTGATGGAGATAATGGAGAGGAAGTGGGCAGGAAGGTGAAAAGGGAACCAGCTTTGCTAGTTCTAAAAATGAATGTGTTCCCCTGGGATTTCTCTGCAAAGCCATCACTTCCGTTCCTAGTCAAATGTCTCCTACTGCCTTCCTCCCTGGGACTGGGACCTTCCAGTGGATCTTGTTGAACAGGCCTGTGGGTCCTGTTCAAACCAGGGACAAGGAGACATTGGAAGCAGCATGCTGGGTCTTCTTACCTGGGCTTCCATGCACCTGTGTGGCCTCTGCTACCCTAGCTCAGCATTGGTAATACTGTTCAAAAGAATACACAAAACTTCATAATTATTGGGGCATTTGTTTTGTTCCTGCCTGGGCTGAGCACTTGTCACACTGAGCTAGACTCACAATTAAACATTGCCTTGGAGACCCTCTAATGAAAAGGTAAACACAGTATGACAACGTGTTTATTACAGTTAATTAAAAGATGTTGGAACAGAAGTTGAGGAGTTCTCTGGGGATCTTTGGAAAATGTTTCCATCATAAAAGTTGGACTTTTTGCCTCATACTACTTCCACTCCTGATTCCACTAAAAATGAATGCAGAAGAAAGGATTCCTTAGCAACTGAAAAATGTGCACTAGGAAATGTACTGCAAGCTTGTGAGCACCAGGGCAGATCTTCCTTATATTTTACAAGTTGACCCACTTTTCCCCAGCGTAGCCGAAAGATTTCCCAATGCCTGTAAACAGAGTTGTCCCTCCCTGCCTCTGCAGAAGCTTGCTCATGGAGGAGATCAGGACCACACTGCCAGAGCACCAAATTTGGTGATATTTGTGTCACATTTCCTGTGTGTTGAGGGTTTGGCTGCCAAGAGATGAAATCTTCTATTTTGGATTCAGTTTCTGAAAGTAGCTTTTGAGCTTGTGCTGGATATCTTTAGTGTCAACTTGACACACCTGGGTTGAGGGAGCCTCAACTGGGGAATTGCCTTCATTGGACTGGCCTGTGACCATGTCTGAGGGGCATCTTCTTGATGAGTGATGTGGGAAGGCCCAGCCCACTGTGGGTGGTGCCACCCCTGGGCAGGTGGGCCTGTGTTGCATAAGAAAGCAGGCTGAGCCAGGTTCCTGCCCTGAGTTCCTAACCTTGGGCTCTCTGATGAACTACAACCTGGGAGATGTAAGCTGAATAAACCCTTTCCTCCCCAAGTTGGTAGTGGTCAGAATGTTTTGTCACACCAATGAAGAAACAAACTAGGACAGAGCTCAAGGCAAATCATAAACAGCATTTTAAAATATGTGAGATGGGTCAACAGGTAAAGGCACTTGCCCTCAAGTCTAGTTTGATCCCCAGGAGTCACATGGTGGAAGGAAAGAGCCAATTTCCTGTAAATTGTCCTCTGATCTCCACACATGCACTGTGGTACTTACATGAACACACTTAAACACACATGTGCACACACACAATAAAATATAGTTTTAAAAGATAAAATCATTAAGATTGTGTGACAGTCATTTTTGCTCTTGTTTGGAAGATTCCATCATGGTTTCCAGACCCAATGTAGCATATTTGGAGAGGAAGAGGATATATATTTAATGTGCCCTGTCTATGGCTGAGCAGTTGGCTTTCTCTCTCTTGGAATGGACTACTAAGACCAACACAAGTTGTCTCCCCATCAAAATTCCAAAGCTAGAAATGTCTTCAGAGGCTGGTTCCATCCAGCCTACTTAAGTCATCAACCAGAGGTCCAGGAGTATGCCCCACCCAACCTCTGGAAACTACTCAGAGTTTATGACTTAATGACCACTGAGTCAGCCCGGCTCTTTGTTTGCCAGGGATAGCAAATTGTCCTTTTCCTTTTCAGACAATTTTCCCTGAACAGGAAGATCACAGATCTTATAGTCACTGTAGAAACTCGTGGTAGCAGGTACAACATTATTCCAAACAAAGTGCAAAAAGGATTCGGAAGATAGAAAGAGCCCACAAAGGTGCTAAGAACAAAGATTATTTTATGCTTGAAATACAGCTTTGATGTGCCACTGTGGAGAATGCCACTATTTCTCTTAAAAGATAGAACCACAAAAGCCTTCAAGTAGTCAAGCAACTTTTGTGAGACTCACAAAGCACATGCCTCTCTTGATACACAAAGTTTTCACTAGTCCCTAGATGCTTCCTGACGCTTAAAAATAAGTTAATTCCAGGGCATCTGCACAAATAGTCTTTTTTTTTTTAACCTATGAGAACAAAATTAAAAAGAAAGAAGAAGGTAGGAACAGCAGTGGCAGGTTTTGGAGTGACGAGCAGGAAATGTGAATTACTGTTTTGGCTAAGCTCTGAATTTATGGGCCTGCTTAAAATGACTCTGGGTTTGGGGATGGTTGTTGTTTGTAGTTACTATAAATTTTCCATAAGCATTTACTTGGTTTGTAAATTATTGAAAGAGGTAAGCAAAGAATGCCAAGTATTGTGATTTCATTCTGCCAATTTGATCAAATTCTGTTGCATTTTATTATTCTATGTACTCATAATGAAAGTACAGATTTTGACCCAAAATGCAAAGGCTGAGGGTGTAGCTCAGTGGTGGAGTATGTGTCCAGCACATACCAGGCCCTGGGTTCCATTGACAGCACTACTCCCACCTACACCAGCACCCCCCAAAATAAAAAACAGGGCCAGTGAGATGGCTCAGTGGGTAAAGGTACTTTCCACCAAGCCTCATGACCTGAGTTAATTCCCAGGACCCATACGGTGGAAGAAGAGGACCAATTCCCCTGACCTCCACATACATGGTACGGTACACACATAAACACGCACATGCACGTGCACACACATACACTTGCACAAAATAAAAATAGAAAGTATAATGTAGAAAAAAAATTAAACAGCAACAACAATCCCAGAGTGCATGTGATGTGGGTATAACTATTACATGGAGAACATTAAATATATTTCAAAGCCCAAATAGTCATTGTTTATAAGAAGACTTTTTTTGCTGTATTTG